ATTTTTACTATGCCTGATTTTTTACGAATGTTAAAATATATTTCATGGAAGAGCCTCGTGCGGTGTATCCTTGTTTGCGCCGCTGCTTTTACGAGTTGTGGAAAATCCACGTGTTTGAGAATATTAAAAAGCATTCGTTATGTACAAGCTTAGTTGTTTCTGATTACTGACTTGATAGTTTCATCGTGTTCGAAGTGTTACGTTGACAACTCGAAAACCACTCATCTGCGTTTAGCAGAGGTGTGCGCATTGCATCGTCCCATTCACAAATATCCTTTTCGTTCGGTAGTTGAATAATAATTTTCGTCGTTTACAGTTCACGTCTCACGTTCTCAACTGTTGAAGATGACTTTGTTCCTGCTGAATCAATGGAGAAAACAACCGGGCGGAGCGCAAGATGCGAGTAAGGAATCTGAGATCTTCGACCGAAAGAAAAAAATTCCATAATTTGTTCGAATTACTCCATTTTTAAACTCGAAAATTGGCTGATTCGAAGAACGAATAAATGTGCGCTTTTGTAATAGCAAATTTTCAGGTGCATTTTTGTTGGCTCTAGAAAGTGGGACGTCGCCGATGCGTGAGAAAGAGTTGATAATAGAAGCGCTGGATGATTGGGACGTGCTCACACCAACGTGGTTTGAAGTGGCCGATTATGTTAGTGTTATCGAGCAGTTGCATGAAAACGAAAACTTCAAGGAGAGACATCGTGCCGCACTCGTCGCTTCCAAGGTTATTTCCGCTAAACTTTCTTGAATTTCTTGTAATTGTTGACGAGTTGACGAGCAACGAAACGAAATTCCTCTTATTTGGTAATGTTGCAAACTGATCGTGAGGATATGTTGTCATTTTTTGCCGTGATTTACGTTGAACTCTTCGGAGAAATTCGAAGCAAGAGATGTGTAACAGGTCCTAAACAAGTCACGTCTGTAACGTAAAGTAAGATTTAACGGCAACGAAACTTCTGCAGTCTGTAATATGAAATACATACGACATGAAATTGATCGCTAACTTATTCTGGCTTTATATTTTTTCAATGAACGTGATATTTGTTGTTGGTTGATATATCTGTCGGGTGTGAGTATCGTTTTAGTTGAATTATTTCGATTATGACAAGAAATTGATTTTATAGGTAGCTTATTGTCTCGGTGATTATTGCGGAGCCTTACAGCTTGCTCTAGCTGCCGGTGATAAGTTTCAACTTACGCCTCGACCGCCGTCCAATCTTGTTGGATCACAAGATGAGCAGGTTTGACGCTATTTTATTTTCGTTAACATCATTTTATGACGTGATTTTTGAGCTATCTTATTCTGTTGTCTATATTTATGAATAGGTGCCCGACGTACGGTCCATCACAATATTAGAGGAAGCCTGTTTCTCAGACTGTTCAGATATGAAAAAATGTGAATAAATTTTTATCAGAAATGCTCGTTTTGCTTGTAATACTAAAGTAATTGAGTGTTTACAAATCGAGCATTTCCTCTGTCATCAGATTGATGCCATCGTGTATGTGCTGATTGTGTCTTCTTTCAGTATGTGAACAAAATGATTGAACATGCGCTGGATACTTACAAACAAGCGAAACGAAGCGGAAGTAACATAGACGAATCTCTCGAAAAATTAATCAATCGTATTTTCGAACGAAATATGAAACGTAAAGAGTTGCGATACGTGATCGGTTTAGCGCTCGATACACGACGAACTGATATGATTATTGCTGCTATTAAGGTTTTGTTTCACTTCATCCGTTCATTCAGCTGTTAATTCCCTTATACATCCAGCAATCAGCTTGAATCACTTTAGCGTATTGAATATGTCTATTTTGGTACCCTTCAACGAGATTCATCTG